AAACAATGAGTGTTACCATACACACTATAAGGAGAGTGATCAGTTAAGGTGAGCTATTATCAGCAGGAGAGAAAAAGAACTGTTTGTAGTGGTAATGAAAATGGCCCATTTCCAGCAATTGACAAGAAGATGTGTGGAATGGGGGAGGGGGGGAGGGAATAAGTATGGGGAAATAATTTTACTTTGTGTAATAACCCATCCACTCTTCTTGTCAATTACTGGACATGGGGCATTTTCATTACCACTACAAACAGTTCTTTTTCTCTCCTGCTGATAATAGCTCACCTTAACTGATCACTCTCCTTATAGTGTGTATGGTAACACCAATTGTTTCATGTTTTGTGTGTGTGTGTGTGTGTATATATACACACACATTCAGTGGATGCATGCAGTAGAAAATACAGTAGGAAGATATATCTTCCTACTGTATTTTCCACTGCATGCATCCAATGAAGTGGGCTGTAGCCCACAAAAACTTATGCTCAAATAAATTTGTTAGTCTCTAAGGTGCCACAAGTACTCCTGTTCTTTTTGCGAATACAGACTAACACGGCTGCTACTCTGAAACCTGTCACTATTTCACCAGGAGGGTGGTGAAGCACTGGAATGGGTTACCTAGGGAGGTGGTGGAATCTCCTTCCTTAGAGGTTTTTAAGGCCTGGCTTGACAAAGCCCTGGCTGGGATGATTTAGTCGGTGTTGGTCCTGCTTTGAGCAGGGGGTTGGACTAGATGACCTCCTGAGGTCCCTTCCAACCCTAATCTTCTATGATTCTATCCACAAGGCTTGTTACCCCATCAAAGAAAGCTATCAGACAGCCTTTAGACAGAGATATAATGTTATGACACAATATGCACATTCACACACCTCACAACACGGCTCTGGGTTTAGCACTGCCAGAAATATTATAAATGATTGGTTCCAGTTCCATTGCAATATTTCCCCTTTTCCAAACGTCCCCTTAGCCTAGTGAGACGGTCCTGATGAATGAGTGCCAGCAAAGCTGCACATGTGTTCCCACCCGAAGGGTGACCTGCGAAGCCCACAGCTGCTCTAGAGGACAAACCTGCCAGATCACCGATGGCGTCATGGGCTGCATCAGCCAAGGTAAAGGACAGTCACTGATTGCAACATGCCCTGAGAGGTTATTGCACAAGCAGTGAGTAAAATAGTTGTGATTATGTCTCCTAACTCTTTTCACTTTCTCTTTCCCTTTATTTAGCCATGAACCCTGAGCCATAATATTACAGAATTTCAATTTGAAAGATGAAAATCCTTGTTGGGTCAGAGTGTCTGCTGCGTCCTGCTTCTGGCGTGCACAGCGGAGTAGGGTGCGCAGCTGATTAAAACCTGGGGGCTGCTCTAAATGGAGCCTATTGGCTGTAGCCTCACAGGGGCCATCAGTCAGGTGGGCACTGTCAGAGCCCATCACATCCCAGCCACTCTCCTTTGCCTGCTCAATGCTGCCCACAACATGCCCCTCTGGGTTGCAGCACCTCTGCCAGGCATTGCGGGGAAGGAGACACAGGAGACCACTTTGCTGGCTTTACGCCAGGAAAGGTCTCACCTAGGCAGGGATTTCCCCAGCAGGAGACTTGTGAGAGATTTGTGAAGGATGAATGGGAGTAGATAGTGTGTATAGGGATAGATAGATAGAGGGGATGTATGGGGATAGAGCAAACGATCATTCGGTCCATTTCACAAACAGGCTATATTAAGAAATAGGATTCCAAGGACACTACATTTCATCCTGGTTTTCACAGCCCCCTCTCTGCTTTCATATGTAACTGATTAGTCTGGTGTCTCTTGTCTTTCTATTGTCTTTCCCCACTAGTTATTCCATCCTGCAGTGTGGTTCGCTGCAGAGAAGGAACTATTTGTAAGATGATAAATGGGCAGCCAGAGTGTGTGCCAGTCTCTCAGGCCACATGCTGGGCTGGGGGTTACTTGCATTACCACACCTTTGATGGACGGGTGTATGATTTCCACGGCACCTGCGACTACACGGTGGCCAAGACCTGCAGGGATGACTCCGTCCTGCCCTTCTTCCGTGTCACGGCCGAGAGCGAGAACAGGGGGAACACACAGGTCTTCTACATTTGGTCGGTGACTGTCCAGGTCGATGGAGTGACCATTACAGCAGCCAGGGCTGAGGTCGGCTTTGTGTGGGTGAGTGCTTGGCACACAAGTCACCCTGCTCCTATGCCCACCCTGTAGGCTTTGCTAAATAGAGGGCAGGAAACTGCACCCCCAACCTCTGCGTAGAATTGCAAGCTAGACAATGTCTGGCGTGGTCAGTACATAGATAGGCTACCTTGAAAAAAATACCCCAAAGTATTGCAGTGGGTATTATCATTGATTTAGTAGGTGCTCTGCCACTGTCTGTGCTGTCACCCACGTACCAGCACTTTGATAGGGGGCGCTGTACTATTTAGATGTGTAGATTTCTCAGTAGCAGTTTCTCCCAAGTTAGTTTTAAGCCCAATACCCAGCACTGGTGAGAGCTCTGTGGTAGGGAGTGGTCTGGGTACCAAGTACAGAGCACTCTCCCCTTGCAGTTAGTGCTGACTCCTGTCAAGGTTCCTTCCCCACTCTGAACTTTAGGGTACAGATGTGGGGGATCTGCATGAGAAGCTCTAAGCTCAATTAACAGCTTAGATCTGGTCTGGCTGCCACCACTCCCAAGCACTAATTCTCTTCCCTGGGTAGCCTTGAGAGACTCTTCACCAATTCCCTGGTGGACCCAGATCCAACCCCCTTGGATCTTAAAACAAGGAGAAATCAATCAGGTATTAAGAAAAAGCCTTTTAATTAAAGAAAAGAAAGGTAAAAGAAAACCCTCTGGGAGAGATTAGCATACCAGTTACTCTCACAGACAACAGATTCCAAACACAGAGGATGCTCCCCTGGGCAAACCCTTAGTTACATAAAAAAAAAACCCCAAATACCCAATTTGTTTATTCCTCTAATTGCACAAGACAGGTTACAAAGAAATAAACATAAACCTATTTATTTCCTTCACTAATACTCACTACTTGATAAGAGGCTGAATTCTGGAGCTTTTCCCTCAGGTCCAAAGTGAAAACTCCACAGACAAAGGGAACTTCCCTCCTTCCCTTTGAACCATCTTGTCCTCCCATTGGTTCCTCTGGTCAGGTGTCAGCTAGGCTAGGTGAACTTCTTAACCCTTTACAGGTAAAAGAGGCATTAACCCTTAACTATCTGTTTATGACAACCCCAATGCCCATCATGGCGCTAGCGGGTGCTGTGTGGCAGGGAGTAGTGTGTGGGGGTCGGTTGGGGGTTCTGTCCCATCAGAGTCTCACTGATCCCAATCTGGCGCTAGAGGGTGCTGTGCTGAGGGGAGCAGGTTGGGTGGCTCAGTGTGGGGAGCTGTCAGCTCTGTCACAAGCACACGGGATCTACACACCAGATAAAGTGTAGATCGGAGCATTTGGTCATTACATTTCCCACAGCATGTCATGCAGGAGCAGGGCAAATCCCAGCTCCATTGAGTCCATCCTTCCGGAAATTCCCCAGCAGTTTCTAATGTAACAGGGATTCCCCTGAGATCCCACCTGAGGAGAATCCCCACTCTTGGATCCAGGAAGACAGTGCCTGAGCTGTAAGATATGGGGAACTCTGAGGCACATTTAGGCAGCTCAGGGCCTTTGTATTACAGAGCCATCTCCAACCTGAGATACCTCAGGATCCCCAGAACATTGTAGTCAGCTCCTTGAGACTTCTCGCTCCTCAAGTGATGCTGCTAACAGCTCTCACCAATGCAGCCCCCTCTCCCAGTGGAGCCGCTCCCTAACAGCTCTAACCAATGCAGTCACTGTCATTTACAGCAGCTCCCAGCAATTCTTATCGCCAGCCCTTTCATCTACAATGGGCTATACTGAAATCATGGGTCCAATATTGGAATTGTTTGTAAAAATTCCAATAAATAGCAATGGAACCAATTCATAATTTTCAATGAATCTGGACCCAAATCTGAACAAATATTAAATTATAGCATCATACTAGATAGAGCTGGCTGGAGAAAGTTAATTCCATTTTGGAGAGGATTTCAATTATTTGAAAATTAGCTTCATTCCAATATGGAATGAAAACCAAAAATTACTAAATTTTCTGGGAAGGGGAATGGAGTCCTGGCTCCAGGTACATCTTTGAAATCTGCTTGGTTTCCATTAAAACATCATTGAAAAGGAACCATCTCCTGAAAACGTTTGGATTTTGAAGACTAGGCAAATACTAGTGGAAAAATTGTATCAGGGAAGAGGTCACTTTGTAAATGAAAGACTTGTGGACTTGATTGTGACCTTTGCCCTTTCTTTCTCACCATGAAGGTGAATAACACCAGGGCCCACTTACCCATCTCCCTGAACAACGGGGCCCTTCGGCTCTATCAGAGCGGCACCTCCCTCATCCTCCGCACCGACTTCAACCTCAGGGTGTACTATGACTGGAACAACCAGCTGAGGGTCACCGTTCCTAATAACTTCTCTGACAGCCTGTGCGGCCTGTGTGGCAACTATAATGGGGACCCCGCCGATGACTTCCGGACCCCGGACGGGGACCAGGCTCCCAGTGTCGCTGCCCTGGGGAAAAGCTGGGCAGTGGAAGATGAGGATCAGTTTTGCTGGCACGATTGCATTGGAGGTTGCAGGCCCTGTGCCGCCAGCATAGCCAGAAAGTACAAGGAGGAGGTCTCGTGCGGCCTGATAGCCAAGGTCTCAGATGGGCCCTTCAGCCAGTGCCACAGCAAGGTGGATCCTACAGTCTACTTGAACAACTGCGTGTACGATCTGTGCCACAACGACGGCTACAGGAAGGCCCTGTGTGAGGCCCTGAAGGCCTATGCGGACGCCTGCCAGCTGGAAGGGGTCAGGATTGGGGAATGGAGGCAGCTGGCCAGATGCCGTGAGTACAGATTTGTATGCCAAGGTCTACGGTCTGCTGGTTAGACCGGGGAGCCTAGGGCTCAGCACTCTTGAGTTCTAGCCCTGGTGTTGGGAGTAGGGTTGCCAATTTCTAATCACAGAAAACCGAATACCCTTGTCCCATCCCCTGCCCTGTCCCTTCTCCAAGGCCCCTCCCAACATCACTCGCTCTCTCCAACCCTTGTTCATGTGCTTATTTTCACTAGCCTGGGGCAGGGGTTGGAGTGCATGAGTGGGAGAGGGTAAGGGCTCTGGACTGGGGGTGTGGGCTCTGTGGTGGAGCCATAAATTAAGTTTTTAGAGTGCGGGAGGGGGCTCTGGGCTGGGGCAGGGGATTGGGGTGTGGGAGAGGGTGAGGGCTCCGGCTGGGTGTACAGGCTCTGGGGTGGGGCCTGGGATGAGGGGTTTGGAGTGCAGGAGGGGGCTCTGGGCTGGAGCAGGGAGTGTGGGTGCAGGGTGTAGGCTCTGGGAGGGAGTCTGGGTGCAGGAGGGGGCTCAGGGCTGGGGCAGGGAGTTGGGTTGCAGGAGGGGGCTCAGGGCTGGGGCTGGAAGTTGGGTTGCGGGAGGGGGCTCAGGGCTGGGGCAGGGGGTTGGGGTATGGGAGGGGATGCAGGGTGCAGGCTCTGGGTGGTGCTTACCTCAGGCAGCTCCTGGGAAGCAGCGATATGTTCTTCCTGCTCGGAGGCAGCCATGGGGCTCTGCATGCTGCTCCCGGCCCCAGGCGCCTCCCCCACAGCTCCCATTGGCCGTTCCCAGCCAATGGGAGCTGTGGAGTTGGCACTTGGGGTGGGGCAGAACAAGGAGCCCCCATGGCTGCCCCTGAGCTGGAGGGACATGTCGCCGTTTCCCAGGAGCTACATGGAGTCGGGTAGAGAGCCTGCCCACCCCGCTGTGCCACCAACCGGAATTTTAACGGGTCGGTCAGTGGTGTTGACCAGAGCCACCAAGGTCCCTTTTCGACCGGGTGTTCTGGTCGAAAAACGGACACCCAGAAACCCTATTTGGGAGGCACCATGATCAAGTGATTTGGGATTGAGCAGTGATTGGGAAATCAGAACTCTTGGATTCTATTGTATCTACAGTACTTGTCTGTCCATGATATTGCTAAGGTGTAGTTTTGTAGTGTAGATTTGCCCTAAGTTATGTGATGTACAGCCACAGCAGTAATTGAATCGTTTTACATGTCCACACTCTGCTCCTTGTGTCAGCGGTGCACGTCCTCACCAGGAGTTCTTGCACCAGTTTAACTGTCAGTGTGGGGCATTGTGGGATGGCTTCTGAAAGGCAGCAACTGTCAATGTAATCAGTGCATTGTCTACATCTACACCTACATCTACATCAACCTAACTACATCGACCTAAGCGCTATGCCTTTCACAGAGGTGGAGTTATTAAGTCAGTGTAGTGGATGAGTTACAGAGGTGGGAGCTACATTTTAGTGTAGACTCCTACAGAATTAGGTTGACATAGCTGCCCTACATCAGTCTAACTTTGTAGTGTAGACCAGGTCTCAGTCTGAGCTCTTTGGTCAGACTCCAGATGAGAGCCCCGACTCCTACCAGCGGCCAACCCTTATTTCCCCACATCACGTTTCCCAGTCCTTTGTTCTCAACCTGGGGGATTTTTGCTCCACGTCCTTGCTGAGAGGCCAGGAAATCCCTCCACTTTGGAGTCGTTTATTACTAGGTGTCAATGTCCTTGTGACTGCATTTGCCATTATCTTCTGGATTCTCCACTGATATGGATGGTTGAGATAAGATGATGCAAGTTTTTAAGTGACTCTTCCTACTATGTGCCTGATCCTGTAAGGGGCTAAGCACCTTCTACAACATACTGAGCACCCTCAGCCAATGTTGAGGCCACTGGGATTCGAGGGCTCTCAGAGCCCCACAAGATACGTCCCTTTCTTTCTATTTTAAATATTGCTTTTGCGTGGAGAGGGTTTGCTGCTAAATCTGTGGGTCCTTTACTCCCCAGCCATGGAGTGCCCCCTGGAGAACAGCCAGTACCAGCTCTGTGGAACAGCCTGCCCAGCCACGTGTGTGGACCAGTCAGCCCCCAGCAGCTGCCAAGACCCCTGCGTGGAAAGCTGCCAGTGCAAGGATGGTTTTGTGCTGAGCCAGGGAAAATGCATCCCCAAGAGCAGCTGTGGGTGCCTGTTCGAGGGGCGCCCCTATGCCCCCAATGAGAGTTTCTGGGTCGATGAGGCATGTGGGACACGGTGCATGTGCAACGCAGCCACTAGACAAGTCAAATGCATGGCTGCTACGTGCAAACGTTCAGAGAGATGCGGGCTAGTGAATGGCGTACGGGGCTGTTACCCCTCCAGCTACGCCACCTGCTCTGTGACAAGGAATCTGCACTATTCCACCTTTGATGGACAGAGATACGACTTCCAAGGCACCTGCCGCTACCAGCTAACTACCTTGTGCAAGAAGACGGTGGGACTGGTGGACTTTGATGTTTATTTCCAGGAAAGCAATACTCGTCCTGTGCAGATCAAGGTCTATGAGACTGACATCAGGGTCAGCAATCAATTCCCTGGGAAAATCATGGTGAGTTTCAGAAATCACATCTAGTCTCTAAAACATTTCTGGAAAGTCGCCTGTGAAATCAGAAGTTGGTTGCAGAAAATATATGGACGGATTTTAGAAAACAGATCAAATATTAACTGGATTCTGATGTGAATGGGGAGCCAGTGGAGAAGCTAAAGGGTTCGGGTGATGTGGTTACACTTCATCTTTGTGAGAAGGTGTCAGTAGCATCCAGGATATGTGGGAACTTGGAGAGCTGGGGCTCACAGAGGAGGAAACAGCAATAGCCAGTGTCAGAAAAAAGGAAAGTCTGGTTGGAGGATCCTGCCCAGTCTGGGGAGCTGGACTCAGGCAGGCTGTAGAGGAGGGAGCAGGTCAGCCTGGATGAAGATTTCAGCAGCAGTAGATGGGCCAGAGCTCTGTGCTGGAGCCAGAGGTTCCACCAGAGCGAGCGATGTTTCATATCCCATGTGTCTTGCTTTTACAGGTGAACAGTATCCTGATTACCCTTCCCTTCAACCTCGATGATACGAAAATCACTGTGTATAGAAAGGGCTGGGCCACAGTGATCCAGACAGATTTTGGTCTCACCATTACCTATGCCGGGTGGTCAGGACGCACCACAATCACTCTGCCAGTCACCTACGCAGGAGCCGTGTGTGGTCTGTGTGGCAATTTTAACAGTGACAGGGAGGATGACATGCTGATGAGGGATGGCACGCTGGCACCAAGTCCCGTCAGCTTTGGCCAGAGCTGGAAGGTGGGCGACCTCCCGGGATGCTCTGCAGTAACGATACCACCATGCGCAAGTGTAGAGGCTATTGAAAAAGAACAACGAGGTAGCAGAGGGCAGTGTGGGCTCATCTTATACAAGAGTGGCCCTTTCAGAGGATGTCACAGCAAAGTGGACCCTCATGGATACTTCATAGACTGTGTGTACAGCTATTGCGTCCTCAGTGCGCGTGAAAGTAATGTCTGCCAGGCCGTTGCGGGCTATTCCGAGGCATGTCAGGAAGCTGGAGCTATGGTGCATCCCTGGAGGACTACGACATTCTGCTGTGAGTCCCCTGTGTTCACCGCTGCCTGCCCTTTGGGGATTGTTAATTCTTGTTGGCTGGTAGATGTGGATCTAAACACTGCAGAACATTTTTAACAGGTCTTTCTCAGCAGGCTGGGTTCAGCACTCGTAGTGGCCTTGGCAGCTGTACCCTGGGCAAGGGAAACACTGCTAGGGATGTAGTGTGCTCTCCATGGCCAGTCTAATCCTTGCCTTCCCTTCTGAGACTGGGACATAATCAGACCTGGGACTCAGGGTGGCTACTAATTGGGATGATTGTTCATTAGGAACTGAGCTGGGAACCCACCAATTCCTCCCACGCAAGCCATCAGTTGGGAATTAATTTTAACGGCTACTGACCTGGATTCAAAACAAAAAGCTAGTAGTGAAACAATAAACTGAATTAGAAGCCATCATAGGAGAGAGATTGTCTGTATCCCATCTCCTGGCCTCTGTGAGGCAGCCAGTTCATCAGACCTGGGACCCCATTACAGATGGTGCCTTTTATTAATTAACCAAATTAAGGAAATAGAAAAGTAGGAACTTGAATGAAATTGCATGTTCTGTGATGGTTCATTGAGCACATTGCTAATGCACTATGTGAGTTAACTCTTTGTTCTAATTACAGCTCCGTCCTGTCCCCTGAACAGTCACTACGAATTCTGTAGCAGCAGCTGCGATGTGACATGCAGCAACCTCTATGCCCCGGTGCAATGCATGACCCAGTGTAAGGAAGGCTGCGTGTGTGACGAGGGCTTTGTTTTCAGTGGCGACCGCTGTGTCCCCATTTCCCAGTGCGGATGCCTCCACAGGGGACTTTACTACGAGGCCGGGGAGACCTTCCACCCGAGCGGTTCATGCGAGGAGCAGTGCATGTGTCAGGCTGGTGGGGAGGTTGTGTGTAAGGCATTCTCCTGCGGCACTGGTGAGGAATGCGGGGTAGTGGACGGTGTCCAGAAATGCCACCCATTTGGATCTGCGACCTGTTCTGCCTCTGGCCATCCCCACTACCTCTCTTTCGATGGGGTCTCCTTTGACTTCCAAGGCACCTGCACGTACATCTTGGCCAAGACCTGCACCGATGCCAGTGACCTTACACCATTCACTATCAGCATAGAGAAAGAAGATTGGGGCACCAGGAACATGTCCGTGGCCAAGCTGGTGTCCATTCAGGTGTATGGGATCACACTCACCCTGCTGCAAAACAAACAGGGGCTCATCATGGTAAGTCCTCCACATTCTCATGGACAGAGATTTTATTCTAGTCTACACAGGTTTGTTTGCAGTTTGGCCAACTCCCTAATGCCCCGTCGTGGTAAAGGTTGCGCTGCAGGTGGTCTGCCTCGCTTTCCCTCTTGGGTTCCTCAATAGCTCACAAGACAAATTGAATAACAGCTGCCCTCCTTAGGGTCTGGATTATTAAATTAGCAAACATGCAAAATAAAGTTTTCAAGTCCATCCATTTTTCTCCATACCAGGTCACTCCGAGTTCTTTCCTGTCTGTAGTCATGCTCCCCAAATTTCAAGTTTCCCTGTTGGAGTCTATTCGCTCCCATCAGCCTCTTGATTCTCTTCTGTTCTCCCTGAGAACTCTCTCTGCAGGGCCAGCTTCCCATCTTCGTCCTGCTGCTCTTATAGGGGAATCAAGGGATTCCTGCTCAGGTGTGCCTCCTTAGTAATTGGGGTTGGCTGGCCTACTGGCCTTAAAGGACAAGCCACACTCTTACAAATTCTTATAACATGCACATCCGTGTAGTATTTGAGCATCTTCCAACAACATACTAAGTAACTTGACCAACTCTCTCAATCTATCACCAGGAGGAGATGTGCGTGCAGGGGAGAATTTTGTATTGGATTTACTTTTAAAAGTTATAAATACGTACGCACATTGCCGTGTGTGTTAGAGACAACAGGTCTGAGAAACACACCTTGCACTTGGGGCGGAAGTGGTGAGGTTTGTCAGGGTCCTTTGTTCCTGAGGGAGTTCATTCCCCAGTCTCGAACTGGTCACCAGTAAAGCTCCATCTCCTGCACAGGCTAACTTTACCCTTATTATTCCAGAAGAAGGAAGTGGTCAGCTACGATCTTCATCCTGGAGGTTTAATTGATCTTTTAGATACCTAGGGCCCAGGCCATTGAGAGTCTTGAAGGTAAGGTGTGAGAACTTGAACTGAATTCAGAAGGCAGCAGAGGGAGCAGAGGACAGTTTTGATGTGATCTCAGTAGCCAGTGCTGGTGAGGAGATGCTTCTGTACCTGATAGCGATTCTGGAGTGCTGAAGGGTTCATGGTTCATTACTGTAGTCCAGAGGAGAGGTGATGAAGGCATGAAATAATTGATGCCAGATCATCATCCATCAGGATGGGACAGAGTCTCCTGCCAACTGGAGATGGTAGCAAGTATTACTCATGGATGCTGCTATGTCAGAGCTTCATTTGGGCAAGCTGAGCATCCCCTAGCTCAGCTCAATCTTCTTTGCCTCCCTTCTTGGTTTATACACCGTGTTTCTGGGAATTAATGATTTGGGGAACTCTCTACACATAATTCAAATTTTTGCAAACATGGAATAAACTTCCTCTCCATTATAATTCCATTGGCTCTGTGTTGAAGAATTTCTCCCCTGATGCATTCCCCTGAGAAGCCTGCAGTCTAACTTGGGAGAAATACAACATGTGATAAATTGATGGAGATAGGAGAATGCAAGGGGTGAAGGAATGAGGTATCACCAGGGAAGTGCGTCTTTAGGAGAGAAGGAGAGAGAGACAAGAAGTAGGAGAGTGTTCTATGTGCAGGAGCTTGCATGAAAAGGAGGGGCAAGCCAAACATGGTTGGAGAAAATAGGGATGGTAAAGAGAGAGAACCGGGAGGGAGGTGCGGTGAAGGGGAGAGGAGAGAAGAGATGTAGACTACGGCGACAATGTGAAGACCTTGGAAGGTGAGCACAAGTCATCCCAAAGTGAAATCTGGAGTCATTCTGATTTATGTCATGTGTCAGTGAGAGCAGAATCTTGCCTGTGTACGTGCTCCCCATGTTCACAGGGAATGTTCTCTCTCCTCCAGGTGAACGGAGTGTCCCACAACCTCCCAGTGATTGTGGCTGATGGGCAACTTAGAGCGTATCAACATGGCACAAACATTCTGGTGCAAACCATCTTCGGCCTCACTCTGAGCTACGACCTGGTTTACCAGGCCAGGGTCACCATCCCAGGAAGCTACGAGGGCCAGACGTGCGGCCTGTGTGGGAACTACGATGGACAGCAGGACGAGGAGTTCCTGCTCCCCAGTGGCAGGACAGCCTCTGATGCAGCAGCATTTGGCTCTGCTTGGGAAGTCCAGATCCCAGGAGCATCCTGTACAGACAGATGTGCTGGAAACAGCTGTCCAGTTTGTGAGGAGAGGAAGAAGAACATCTTCAAAGGGCGCAACTACTGTGGGCTGCTTACAGACCCCGACGGCCCCTTCATGGCCTGCCACGGCCTGGTTAGCCCCAGTGTGTATCAGAGCAACTGTCTGTATGATCTGTGCCTGGGCAACGGGGATGCACAGGTTCTGTGCCAGAGCATCCACAGCTATGTGACGGCCTGCCAAGAGGCCGGGGCTCCCATCCGGCCCTGGAGGAACACCTCCTTCTGTGGTAAATGTGCTGATAGTGTAGGAACTCTGAGATGCACTGGGAGGGGAAGGAGAGGGTCAAAATTGCTGAGCATCTTGTTCCAGGCCTCTGGGTTTCTTCTGGAACTCTTCTGGGTGGGAACCAACAATCTCATGTTCCTTTCTAAAGGTTCCCTATTCCTCTCCTCCATGTCCTGCTCTCCTCTCCTTCATGTCTGTCCCTCTAGGCCGTGGTGTGAGATCTTTCCAGCCATCATTTATTTCTCTCTCTATTTAAGCTGTGAGCTGCCCAGCGAACAGCCACTATGAGGTCTGCGCCGACCTCTGCACCTCCACCTGCACTGGAGACATCATGGACTGCCCGGAGACCTGTGCTGAAGGCTGCGAGTGTGACGATGGCTTCTTCTTCGACGGCCAGGGCTGTGTGACTCTGCAGAGCTGTGGGTGCTTCGAGCACAGGAGATATTACAAGGTACCTCCCCCTGTTGGAGCATCTGGGTCTGATCTAATTTTTGCTCTGTCCACATCTTAATCCCTACACTGGTCAAGAATATAGGGTTTGCTATACTGAATCAGAGCATTGGTCCATCCAGGATGGCTTCCCTCTCTTCTAGTATCTAATGCTCAAAATGCCAAAAAAGGCCAGAAGATTTAATGCCCTGTGCCTGTTGTGGGAAAACTGAGGCAGAGATAGGCACAGTGACTTGCTCAAGGCCACCTCATGAATGAGTAGCAGATGGGAGGTTAAAATCTAGGAATTGTTCCTGGCTTTAAGCCCAGTCCTCAGCCCATTAGACAGCCTTTCTCTCTAAAGGCAAGAGGAAATAATATTATGACACAATGGACATTTTTATAGATACATAGATTCTAAGGCCAGAACGGTCCATTGTGATCATCTAGTCTGCCCTCCTGTATAACCCAAGCCAGAGACCTGCCCCAATGTGATTTCGAGAGCACATCTGTTAGAAAAACACATCCAGAGCTCTGGGTTTAGCGCTGTCAAAAATTATTTTAAATAATCGTTTCCAGTTACATTCTGTTATTTCCTTTTTCCAAACGTTCCATCAGCCCAATGAGACGGTCCTGACGAACGAGTGCCAGCAAAGCTGCACCTGCGTTCCTGCTCGAGGGGTGACTTGTAAAGTCCACGGCTGCTCCCGAGAAGAAATCTGCCAGATTAGAGATGGCGTCAGGGCCTGCATCAGCAAAGGTACAGGACAGTCATTGTTTGAAACATGCCCTGAAGGGTTATTGTACAGGCAGTGAGTAAGCAGCTGTGGTTATGTCTCCTGACCCTTCTCACTCTCCCCCCCCCTTTATTTAGCCTGGAACTCTGACCCCTAATAGTACAATATTTCGACTGGAAAGATGTGAAGACTTGTTGGGTCTCTCCAGCAGAGTCGGGTGGGCAACTGTCAGGGAGCTGAGCACACTCCATGATTCTCTCCCTGGGCACAGCCTGGGGGCTGCTATAAACAGAACACCCTGGCTACATACAGTCCCATAGGGACCATCAGTCAGCTGGGCAGTGTCAGAGCCCATCACCTCTCAGCCACTTTCCTTGCCTGCTTCATGCTAGAGGTCTGCTTGGGCCTAATATTTGAGGAGCCCAAGCCCGAGAAGGTCAGGTCATTTTCTGACCTACCCTGTCTCTTCCCATGAAACTGAATGAGCGCCACAGCCACCTCCCGCCCATAGGGTTGGCATGGCAGTGCCTATGTTCCCTGTTCCTGCCATCCGCCATCCCTGGCTGCAGTGTGTGCGCTCTGGGGCAGCTCCCTCACTCCACAGTATGCATAAGGCAGCCAGGTGGCAGTGCTAGCAGGAGCTGGGCATGCAGCCACCTCTGCGCTGACCGCACAGGTAGGGTGGCCAACTCCCTCATTTGTGAAAACTGGACACTGAGTGCCGGAACCTCCCCCGCTCCACCTCTTTCCCTCAAGGCCCTGTCCCCCGCTCCTCTTTCCCCACCCACTGTTGCTCACTGCTCTATCCACCACCCTCCCCCTGACAGCTGAACAGGGCTCTAGGGGTGGAGGGGTGAGTGGGGCAGGACATGGGGGAGAGAACAGGGCTCTGAGGGTGATGGGGTGACTGGGGCAAGGTGTGGGAGGGAGAGCCATGCTCGGGCAGAATGGGGAGCCGCTGGTATGCCGGTACCTTTCTCCGCCAGAGCTGTTGCTGAGTGCTTCTCCAGGCTCCAGCAGCAGCTTCTGCCCTCCCCCTCCCCTGGATGGCGGAGGCTGGTTACTGCAGGTAACTGGACTTTTAGTGTCCGGTCAGCAGTGATGACTTTCCAGTCGAAAACCGGACATCTGGCCAGGGCCGGCTCCAGGGTTTTGGCCGCCCCAAGCAGCCAAAAAAAAAAGCCGCGATCGCGATCTGCAGCGGCAATTCGGCGGGAGGTCCTTTGCTCCAGTGGGCGAGGGACCATCCGCCGAATTGCCACCGAATACCTGGACATGCCGCCCCTCTAAGGAGCAGCCGCCCCAAGCACCTGCTTGCCAGGCTGGTGCCTGGAGCCGGCCCTGCATCTGGCAATCCTACGCACAGGCAGAAGGAGAACAGCTGACTTGAGGAAGCAGGGATGGCTCTAGGCACCAGCAAAGCAAGCACATGCTTGGGGCAGCCCATTTGCAGGGGCGGCAGGGATCCAGAATGGGAGCTGAGAACCAACAGGGGGCCCTGGGCGCTGTAATTCCTTGGTTAGCTCCCTGCCTATAGAGCCAGCCCAGGAGCAGGGAAAGAACTACATTTCCCAGCATTCCCGTGGCCACTACAAACAGAAAAGAGGGGGAGGGAGTAAGGAAGCTGAGACATCATTCTACAGCCTGCTTTGAATGGAGATCTGCACTGTGAAGGGTAGGGATACCATATTTTAACATTCAAAAAATAGGACACTCCACGGGGAGGGAGGGTAGCCCCACCCTGCCACCATCCACTCCCTCCGACTGCCCCCCACAGAAACCCCAACCCATCTGACCCCTGCCCCAACTGCCCCCCCAGGACCCCCACCCCCTATCTAAGCCCCCCTTCTCCTTGTCC